TACTTCAATTGATTTCAACCCATTGATCTTGGAGCATGGTAGATGATTATAAATGGTTATTCTTCTCTAACAAAGAATATGAAGGAGTGGAGTGACCAAGAATGAGAGAAATGCCAACAAAACGCCATGGCAATGCACATTTTACTTTGAGCATTTGGTCACAATATATATGAAGGAGTTTCTTCATGTTCTAATGTCAATAAGCTATGGGAGAAGCTTGAGTAAATTCAAGGTGACAAGAAAGAAGAATAATCAAGTTGAAACCTCTTCTCAAATCCAAAGGTGGTGTGTTTTATGGCTCTTGAATAGCAAGAGGTATCTTTTAACTCAAATGAATTAAATTCATATTCTTTTAATGAATTACAAGATGCATACGATGAATTATTTTTGGAGTTTGAGATCATGAATTCTAAATACAAGAAATCGATTTCAAATTTTAAAGTTGAAAACGATTTTCTTTTGAAAGCAAAATTAGATTTTGAAAATCAAAATAAAATTTTAAAAAATGATTTAGAGCTTTCAAAAGTGAAAATTGAAAAGTCTGAAAAACAAAATTTTGATTTAAAAGTCAAACTTAAATGCTTAACAAAATAAAAGTAAATCATTTTAAATAATTCATCTAGCTTAATAATTGCAAAATGCTTACATTGTCATTATCATGGTCATAATGTACATATGTGTCCTATAAAGAAAAAATTCTTTTTTTAAAATTAAACAAGTGTGGGTTCTTAAGGAAACGACAGACATTGACACTAATCCTCAAAGATCCAAAGCAATTTGGGCACCAACATCCAAATGAATATCTCTTGTAGGTGTGTTGAGCAATGAAGTGAAATGTCAATATATTTTAATGTTCTAGTCACACAAAAGGGAGTATGGCTAACCTCTAAACTCAATATTTATTGATTTTGTATGTCGGTTGCCTATTTTGATGTTTTTGATTCATATGAGATTTTGAGCATGATTGTTCATGTCATTTGTTATCTCATGTATGTTGAAATTGTATTATGATGGACATGTTTTAAAATTAAATGTTTTTATCAACTTTTGATTCATCATAATATTTTTTACCAAGTTAAACTTTTATGTTTTAACGATTTCTTCAAAATATCATGACCTTAATTTGTGTTCTATTGAAAACTATTTTCAAAACAAGTAATATCCTTAATTTATTGAATAATTTTAACATTTGGAATCACTTTAAACCTATGATGTCAAGTTTGATAAGTTTTTAAAATCTTTTTCAATTAGTTACGTTTTTAAAAGGTGCATATGGAAGAAATCTTAAAGTTTTCTTCTTGTTTGCATATGTCTTCTTTTGTCTATTTGCATATGTGTGCCTAATTTATTTTTACATTTTTGATATGCAAATGCAGATGAAATTAAATGTTCATGTATGTGTTCTTACTAGCAAATGATATAATTGATATAGATATTCAATGCATGACATTATGTAGTGTTTTACTCATATGCAATTCATTGTGAATTTTTATTGCATAAAGTATGATAGTCTTAGATTTATTGAATTTCATGTGTTACTAACATGTTTTCTCATCTTATTGAAATTCAATATTCTTCTTAAGTGCCTAAGTGTTTTTATGCCAAAACTTTTCATGAAATGTCTTATTAAGGGAGCTTTATTTTCAATTGAATTATGTGCTTAATTTTTTTTTGTTTTAACTTAATCACCTTTGTTATATGATACTAACATTGTTGAATTATTTTTGATATAATAAAAAGGAAAGCAGTAAGTATAAAATGAAAAATGATTTTTTAAAATTAATTTGGAGGTCAAAATCTTTCACAAATTCACAAATTATTATATTTTTTATGGGGAGTATTTTTCAAAAAAAATTTTCAAAGAGTTTTGTTATATCAAGAGTGGGAGATTTTAAATTAATGTTTGTTATAACAATAAATTGTAAAATTGATTTTGGACTTAATTGAATATGTCAAAAATTTATCAAAAAATAGTTCAAAGTCGAAATTAACTTGAAAAATATGTTTTCCAACTTAGTCGAACTTTATAAAAAACTTACTCGATGGTTTTCGCGTTTTAAACTCAAGTTTTCAAGGATTTTGCTCAAATGATTGATCCCTTTGACCAAAGGATCGATCCACTTGAAAAAAGATCAATCCCTTAGATTCAAGTAAGTTTTAGATCGGTCCCTTTATAAAAGGATAGATCCTCAAGGAAAATGATCGATCCCTCTATGAAAAGGATCAATCTTTTTCCCTAATAGGTTGATCTTTTTCTTACAACAGTCAAATTATTAGAAAAATTATCGATCCCTTTCACAAAAGGATCGATCCCTTGTGCAATAGATGTTTTTTGTTGTAGATATGACTATAACTCAACTCCATCTATCATTCTTGTTTACCAAGCATCATTTGTAAAAGGGGAAAAGCTTTAGTTGAGCCTCAGAAAAACTAGAATAGTAAATGTTACTTTTTGTCCAAGAAAAAGAAAGAATAAATTAATGAATTTGTTAGAAAAACCTTAGTGTAGAGCTCAAGGTAGAAAAAGAGATTTGGTTGAGAAGTTGAAACATTGTAAATCGTTGTGCTAAATTTTTTATTTTTTATTGCTTCTACACCAAATATTTTCAAGGCCAATTTACCTCCTCTTGGCAGTTTTCAGTTTATCAATAGAGCCTAACAAAATAAGTGTCCAAACTGTATCACTTTTCTCAAATAAGTGCCCAAACTTTTTTTAATCATCCAGGTGCCTAATGTTACAAACATTACCACTTTAGGTGTCCGGGTCGTAACGATTGTTAAATTCTATCGTTAAGTAACATGTATCACGCTCTGGTAATTTTAAAAATTTTATTTAAAATAAAAAATAAATTTATATATTAAAAATTGAAAAACTTTATAAAAAACCATCAAAACTTTGAAAACTCCAATTTCAATCCCTAAATTCATGTCGGTCAGCACCATTTGACGCCACTCAGACCTCTACCAGAACTTCCACCCTAGGAAAAGTTAAACCTGACCATAAACATCGCGTCTCTGACGAAGAAACTGGTAAAATCATGACCTAAAATTACATCTCCAACGAACTCAAATTCGCGATACCCAAGCGATCCAATGACGCGTAGGATAGTAAGGGAGACGGCGATTGACCAGAGAGATGGCAAGGATGGCATTGGTGACAGTGTTCGTGGCCAGAAAGAAAGGTTATGGTTGATCAGGGTTAGGAGTTTTTAGGGTTTTGAGATTTTTTTTTTGTAATTTAAGAAAAATTCAGTTTTTTATAAATATAATCTTTTTAATCTTTTTTTAAAAAATTAATATTATCAGAGCGTGACATATATCACTTAACAATTTTTTTAAATGCTCATTACATCCCGGGAACCTAGAATAATAATATTTGTAACGTTAGGCACATGTATGATTCAAAATAAAGTTTGGACACCTATTTGGAAAAAACGGTATAGTTTGAGCACTTATTTTATAATTATACCTAATACAATTTATAACTAAAAAATTATACCTAATACGAAAAGTGTCATAAAATCTAACACCTCAAGTTAAATTGTCATTCCTAAATGATTATTGAATTCAAATAAAATTAAGCCTAAATGATAAGACTGACAAGTAAAATGACACATATTTTACAAGAATATATATATAGGGATAGGATCTTATTACACAATGTAAAACTCTTTTAGTTTTACACAAATTTAGAACTGTTGGATGAGAGAAAATAGATTGGTGAGATTAACAATAGGAAATGAGAAGATATTCAATAGAAAAAAGTAATGAGTCAATCTTAATCATCTACTTTCACTCATCTAACGATCCTAAATCTGTGTAAAACTAAAAAGTTTTACATTATGTAGTAAATCCTAACTCATATATATATATATATATATATATATATATATATAGATTCATACCCAACTCAACTTGAATTGACCAAAGATTCAAGATTGACCCGAATTAAAAATGACTTATATGATATTTATTCAATTAAATAATCAACTAATTCGATATTCCATACACAAAAATTGACTGATTCGATATTGACTCAAATTAAAAACCAATTATTCGAATATTAACCCAAATAAAAAAAATAACTAATTCAATATTAACCCGATTTGATACCTAATTTAACTCAATTTATCATAAACTCGAATTAAATCTAAATACATAATGATTCAACTCAAACTAGTTCGAACGACCCAATTGACACCCATACATGCAATCAACTCCGGCAATTGCTGACCTAATTACCTAAACACTGAGCTGGAGCTGGGGCTGGAGCTGGGGCTGGGGCTGGAGCTGGGGCTGGGGCTGGGGCTGGGGCTGGGGCTGGTTATAGAGGTCAATGGCTTGCTCGTTAGACTTGGGATGTATTTAGTATTTTTTTTTTTTTAAAAATGAACATACAAATAATACTAATGATTTAAAATGTTTTTAAAATTAAGTTGAAAAATATTTGGAAAAAAATAGAACTTATAGTTTTTATTTTTATCAAAAAAATATTAAAAAAAATTATTTATTTACAATTAGATCTAAGGTGATGATGATTATTTTTACACTGACAAAGTAAATAGATTTGGCTGTCAATAGATTTAACTGATAGATAACATAAAAAAATTTGAAGTATATACAAATTATTAAGTGAAATAATATATTAATAATATTAAAAGTTTAATATCCCAGTTCGTATTTTTTATGTTATTTTTATAGAAAATACTGATTCATTTTTTTTAATATTGAAAATTAAATTAAATATTTTTAAAAATTTGAATTTAACCAATAAAATCATTTAATAACAATTCATGCATTTTTTATAATTGAATTTAAACAAAATAAATTATTTAATTTTTATCCGAACCGAATTTGACAGGAAAGCTCAAAATCGTAATCTCAAACTAAGTTAGAAATGTCACTTTTACCTCTTTGTAATATGTGATTTGAATTAATCAATCTATAAATAGAATAAAATGATTAATTAAAAAAATCCGAAAGGGAGCCGTACAGATCATTGAAGTGAATGACCAAAGCCCTAGCTTTTGTTATGTCTGTCCATTGTCCATGCGGCAAAAAAGAGCTTAGGCTTGGATTCTACTCGTTTAATCTCGTACTTTCTCTGCGATGTGAATTTTGTTCACACCGCTACTGACGTCCTTGGCTTGATGAGCGGTGTTTTGCTAGGCTTGCCGGGGCCATGGGCTGAGGATAGCCGTGAGCCCTCTGATCATTATACTACCAAAATTGGTGGACTCCCTGTACTTCTCTTTCTCTTTCTATTTCTCTTTTCATTTTCATATGTGTTGTTGATGTCCTCTGGCAGTTCAATGTCTTAACTTTATTCTTTTATCAGGATTGGCCTCTTCCTATAGAGGCTCTCAACATAAACCCTACTCTCCTTCTCTGCACTCAGTGTGGGAGTAAACTATGTCTTGTTGCTCAGGTTTATGTTTTTCCCTTTCATGTTATTGCCAACCAACTTTAACATGGGAATCCAATTATTTATTTTACTTCTGCTAAATTCCTGGTTAAGGTTTATGCTCCAGTTTCAAGTGGAGCTTTGAACATTGAAGACCGTCTTCTTCTTGTTTTTGGTTGTGTGACACCAAATTGTGGTAGCTCTCCTCTCAGGTTCCTTTCTCTATCATAATGCAAACTTTTAATTGTTCAAGTGTTATGTTCTCTTTTATTACCTGAATAATGACCACTTAGATGGATGCTTTGTTTAATGAAATATAACCATATAGTTGGCGAGCTCTTCGAATTCAGAAAGTGGAAACTGAATCAAAGGAATCATCTTCCTCTGCTAATGTGGATAAACCACCTGCAGCTTCATCTACTGTTTCTCTTTCACAAACTAACTGGTGGGAGAATTTGAGTGATGAGGATGATGAAGATGTGGATTTGAAGGACTTGAGTAAAGCATTTTCTGAAGTTGCTAGCTTGAGTTCTGAGCCCAAGAAGACGAATAACAACCGGAACTCTGAGGGTGCTATGAAGCATTCATCTTTAACTGCAAAAACAAGAGGGGTGGATACTGATACTCCAGGTGAGGTTGCCCTTATTATCATGTTTGCATCTCAATTCCCTTTATATACGTATACTTATATGCGATAGCTTGGACTCTACAATTTGTTCTACAATTGTCATTGGAGTCAAAAGTAACATCCTAGTCTTCAAACACTGCATTCCTATCCTTTCGGTTTCATATGTAAAGCTTTAACTCGGTTTTCTTGTATTGTTGGGTCTTGGAGAGTTGCATTATGATTAAAAGTTGCATTGAATTGCCATCTAAATTTCTTCCTCACATTTTTGTATACCAGTTTTGTTGTGCAAAAATTCTTCTGCTTGATTCATTTTGTTCCCTTGTTGCAGTAATGCCATGCTTCTACATTTATAGTCAGATGGAGTCATCATCAAAGAATTTTGCTTCTGTGTGTTCAAATCACTTGTCACTTCCAGTCAAGGAGAAAGAAGGTGATGTCGATGATCATGGACATGGAGAAACGTGGGAAGCTGAAAATTATGAGTATGATAAGGCTCTGAATGCTGACAGAACTTATCTCAAGTTCAAGAAACAATTGGATGCATCTCCAGAGCAATGTTTCAGGTAATTTGTATGCTGTATATATTGGCATATTGTTCATTAAAATTTATACATGATTTCTTCAATGTTTCAGGTAATTTGTATGCTTGTAGAGAAGCTCCTTAATCAGCGGAAGACGAAAGAGTGCCTTTAGATTTCATTAAACATAAGAGAGTACAAGATACATCCAGAGAGCCACCCCCAACATAAACAGAACACCAAAACAACCGAAAACAACCGTATACAACAACACTAACTCAGCCTAATCCAACTTAGCTACAACAACAGCCTCTAAAATGGCTGACCAGACTTAAAGCCAAAACTTGGCCCGAAAGACACCACAAAACAAAACAACTATAATAGAAGCCAAATATATTAGCTGACTCAATCCATAGAAGCGAAATTCTAACACAAAAGACATGAGCTTCCACATGATAAAAGAACAGACAAGCAAGCTTCGAAAACACTCTATCCGCCTTTATGTCACAAATTGCTCGTCTTGTCGTCGGATACCATCCGAACCTCCAACTCCAATATCAATAATCATATGCGAATCATCTTAAACTATTCACTACATTATGTTCTTGAATCAACACAATCTCACACTTTTACATCCAACAATCCTCCTTAGTTCAGAAACATAAAACATTTGAGCCCATCCCTCGTACGATCCAAGAAAGATCCTCATCTCTACCTACTTCCTCTGAAAACAGCTAAAAATCAATAGAAAGGGATTGTAACACACCTTCCAATACTTCCACTGCTATAATTTTCCGAAATCAAAACCACTTTTGAGCCTTTAGACTCTATACAATTCTGTTAGTTTTTTTCCTTACTGGATCCTGGTCACATTTATGAGAAATAAAAAAGAAAAGAAAAGAGAAAGTATGCATAAAGAATAAACTGGGAAGAAATCATAATTTTATTGCAGAGAGAGATAACATTGATTGTATTAGTAATTTGAGATGGGCACTGTTACTTTGCATATTATTTTTCTCACTGCATGTGGAAGGGAAAAGAACAGTGAAAAAATAAAGATAAACACTTTCATGTCTCTGATTATGGTGTATTATATCACCGATCATTGTGTTCTCAGATATGCATTTGGCGGGAAACCTCTTCTGGCTACAGCAGAGGTGGGAAATGCTGGGAATTGCGGGCTTTGTGGTTCTTCAAGGCACTTTGAACTGCAGCTTATGCCCCCATTAATATATTTTCTTCAAGAAGAAGCTGACCTTTGTCATAAAGGTTCTCTGGAGAATTGGAATTGGCTAACGCTGGCTGTCCATACTTGTTCCAAGGTCAGTTGTTGACTCTTTGATTACTTTAAATGAGCAATACACACACACACACACACATATTACTTTTTATTTCCTTTTTTTGGGTGGAAGAAGCCTTCCATTCACCCTTGTTATATATTTGTTTGCAGAGTTGTTCCAAGTCATTTGATAAAGAGCAGTCCACCTATGGTGCTTGGTTTGTTGTAGAGGAGACTGTTATGGTGCAATTTGATGAGAAGCCCTTAAACGAGCGTCTTCAACGCTATTTCTCATGATTTACAATTTGTCAAACTGTTGATTGAAATTCTTTCAGTGTTTAGTGTTTTTTATCTGCAGTTTCTATGAACCATCAAGGAACCTGAAAGTTCACTGATAATATAGCATGGGTTTGCCAGTTTTTATGTCATTGACAAATCTAGATTGCCTTTTAGATATATCCACAAGGGTCTGAAATGTCAGTCCCCAAGAAAGCGTTATGCATTGGGCGTCAAATTGTGTACAACTTTATTCACTATTTTGTTTAAGCTTTCTGCCATGGCTAATATATGATCTTTAGTTTAAAATTTATATTCGTCTGTTAACAAGTTTTTAAACAGAACCTGAATTGATGACCTTATAGTATGTACAAGGTTTTCATGGTATTAAATTGTATACACGTTTCACTTGCCGGACAAGTCTTTGATCATAACCCAAGTAGAAATAGATGGAAAAAATGTAAATAAAACCCTAAGATTGAACTGAGAAGTCGAATTCAACCTCGTTTGGCATTGAGGTTTACAAGGTTTTTGAGAATTTTCTTTTTTAATTAAAATTTGATCTTCTGGGTTTAAGGGTTTGCGTTACATCAATAATTCAGCAGACTTGGAAAAAAGGGTGAGGGAAAAATAAGGACGAGGAGCTTTAGAGTAAATGTTTTCTATTATTGATGATGGATGATACAAATGAGGTTTTCTTATGGTTGAGTCTCTAAACACAACCTTGCACCAATAAGTAACAGAGAAATTTGCTCAAGTAAAATTAGATTACAATGGTGTCCAACAATAGAGAACCCAATTTGTTTAATTCAAATGTCCATAGCCAGCAATTTCAGTTATGGTAATAGGTTCCTACACTCACTAAGATCAACGCGATGATTAATGCGACGAGAAAGGCGGACGGAGAGAGACCAAAATATGAAGCACGCGCAAAGATAATCTTTTCAGATAAAAAAATAAATCCAACAATTACGAGTGAAATAGCAGTTATTGGAACTAAATCCAAATGTTCTCCATATTTTGCCTTTCTGTTCAAAATCTAAAGAGAAGTGCATTAAGAGGAACTAGAAGCAGATAGTCTAAGACACTCACTCTGACACCTCCGTAGGCAAATGTCATTCCAGTTGGGCACCTGATGTTGGTTAACGCAAACAGTACGAGCACAAGCATCAGAGCAAGCATCGAGCTCGGACACACCACAGACGGTAACACAAGTATCGGGAATTGGATCCTTTGAAAATGCCCCAACCTTTTTCAACATTCTCTTGATGTGCACACTCTCTCACAAACAATATATCATCTGAACTCTTCTCCCCCCTGGCACTCTTGATTCTCTGTTCTTCAGCGTACTTTTTCTTCATCCTAAAAGCTTGTCCCGCAACAACAGCCGGAATGGCAGCCCCTAGAAGGGACCACCACATATCAACCATTGCAAATTGCAGTATGCAACCTCTTCAACCTTTCTTCTTTCCCAGCCTTCACTTCTGCACTCGTCAATGGAAGAGGAAATACAGCAATGAACTATCTTCATTCATTTCTTGACTGAACAGCTAGCAGTTTATATTTATCCGATTCAACTTTTCTTTTAACATAACAAGAAATTCCAGTGGAAAATGACGATCAAATCTATGATTTATGACAAGCAGCAGCAGATAAAAAAATGAAAAATAAAAGAGGTCGTGGGTTGTTTTAAAAGGCAAATAATTTCCATTTGCAGTTCGGAGGTTGGATTTTAGGTTGCCTGCCATTTTAAAATTCCCGCATGTCTAGCAACAACACATTCAAATTTTATGCATTCATGTCAGCATCAGTTTATGAAAACTTTGGAAAGTTCCATTTTCATCATACAATCTGTGAACTAGAGAGATAGAATCACAAACAGAATCAGCAAAGCTGCCACTGTCAGTTAATAGAACCTACCAATGTTATCAAGACTCAGGAGTGTTGGAAACCGATATTGTCCCATACAAATCTTTTCATCTTTTTCATATGTTTGGAGGATCGTATCCATATATGTCAAAAATATGTTTCCAACATAAATACCGGACATGAAAACTTTAGGAAAAATGACTAGTCCAAGTACACAAGAACCTACGCATTTCACCTCCCAATAACAACCATTTTCCAATTGGTTTCCAAACCAAAATAATAGAGTTACCCATCTTCCATCTGAAAGATTTTAAACCACTATAAAAGAAAATTCCAAACGAGGCATATCAATGCCCTTATTACAACCAAAAGCCATCAAAAAGCCTCAGAATCCCCAAATTTATAAATGTTTTACACATAACAAAAAAATGGTTAATTCCAGTCTCAGCATACTGCAAAAGCACATCCTTACATTTTTGTGAACAAAAACGATAGCTTTCTCAGACAATCACATAAATTAAACTCCCCAGATTAAGTTTCTTAATGTACAAAACCGAAATAATAATTCCTAAAGGCATGAGCTTTAGGAACCGTACTATTTTTAACAATTGAGCAAATACCCATTTCATAAAAGGAAGAAAAGCATCTCATCATGCAGCAACATAACCACATTATTGGAAGGATAATTATGCATAAATAGGCGAATAAACTCGAATTAAGAACCCGAAAATGAGATAAAATAATAAAAGGAAAAAAAGAAAAGAAAATTCCAGATGCTAAGTTACATATCAAATAACAAATTACATATCAAATAACAAAGAAGATATAACACATGCTGCCACTAATCGTTGAGGCTTGGTATTTAGAAGCTAAAGAAAGAAGAGCCTGACCTTTGAAGCAGGAATTTAGGGAAATACAGCGAAGAGGGTAGAGCAGCTAATACGTTCGCTTTTCGACTGTGGAAAAATGCTCGTCTTCAAGGGTTTTTGAACCCCACAACAAATCCATTAAGTGATGGGATTATTTTCCTATGTAGGCCGATTTTATTTTTTTTTTCGTTAAAACCAAGATGAATCAAATGTAGAACTTTAGGGTAAACTAAACAGATAGGCTTCTGATTAAAAGTATTTTTTTGACTGTGTCTTTCAATTATGAAAGATTATAAATAATCACTTAATTAATAAAAATAATATAATTATAAATTTAATTTGATCTTAATTTTAAAAATTAATTACCAATAATTTAATATTTATTAATTTAATCACTACTAACCCATTTTCAAGACAACCAGACGAATATTGGCCTAAAACAAAACCCATTCAACTTTCCTTCTTCTTTTCATTCTTCGGATGAAATTCATATAATCTTTTTAAAATGTTCAAATAATGAACTCTCTACTTAGCGGAGAGGGGAGTGTCGGAGAGTTTTTAACAATTTTTTTAGAGAAAATCGTCTAAGTGACAAAAATGCTTATAATATACGATTTTAACCAACTTTTTCCGGATTTGCCAAAATGACCAACAAAATCGCAATGCGATCGCTAATTCGCAATGCGATCTCCATTATCGCAATTCGCGTTGCATTTCGCGTTGCGATAGTTGGAAATCGCGTGCGATAGGAAATCGCGTTGCGATGGTCTACAGTGTCGTTGCGATTTTCCCAATTCGCAATGCGAATAAGTAAATCGCAACGCGAATTGGGAAATCGCAATGCGATACTGACTATCGCAATGCGATACTTACTATCGCAATGCGATAATACAAAATCGCAACGAGATACTGACTTTCGCAACGCGATTTACATAGCGCCATTCGTATTAACGCGTATTTTTTTTTCAATTCCAAACACGAATTTTTTCTTACTAAATCGGAAACTGAACCGTCCACAGTAATCGTAACTCTAACCTCAAACCCAAAATCACAACACTCAGTCCCATCTCCATCTCTCATCTCTACGGCGAAATCCGTCCCCATATCCGAAGATTTCCGTCCCATCGCCGGCGAAATCCTCACAACCATTCACAGTCAAAAATCCCTCACAATCATTCAGAAATGGAAAATCAACCTCCGAGGTTAGTTTTTTTTTATTTGAAATTTTTGCATTATTTTAGGTTTTTCATATTGAGATTGATGATAAGTTTACTGGTAATTTCATAATATATCGCAACGCGAAACCAAAATCGCATTGCGATTTTCATTTCGCGTTGCGATTTTCATTTCGCGTTGTGATTTTCATTTCGCGTTGCGATTCTCTCGTCGCGATAGTCATTTCGCGTTGCGATTCTCTCGTTGCGATAGTCATTTCCGCGTTGCGATTCTCATTATCTCGTTGTGATTTTCATTTCAACCAAAAGACAACAGTGTTGCAAATTTTAGTTTCAAGAATAAACTACTATTTATGTTTATTGTTTTTGGTATATCTTGACAATGTAGTTTTTGGTATATCTAACTTGGTATGTTTATTGTTTTTGTAGAATTTTTTTTTGGCTTCATTGACATTAAGGAATAAAGTTAGCCTAGCCACTACAATTGCTTCGAAGCTTTCACATGCACAAAGAAAATTGTTTGAAGAAACCTGCTTCGGGCCATGGCTGAGAGTACAGCATCCGGTGGAGATGCTAATTTGACCCATTTGTGGCTTCAGACCATGACTAGCGATCTACCCGACAGTATACAACATGGTGAGGAAGAGATATGGTTTCATTTTCCACCGGCGTATACTTGTTTTGGGCGGAAGGAGTTCTGCTTAATCACTGGGTCTACGATTCGGACAAGATGATGTAGGCCGGTACACTCGTCATATCACCCGCCCATCATGGTTATCCAGGGTTTTTCCTGATGAGTCAATAGAGAAGCCGAACTTACACGTCGACGACATGAAGAAATTGTTTAATAAGAAAGATGGTTTTACTCGGATGAATGACGTCGATGTTGTCCGAGTATGCCTTCTACTACTTTTGTATGCCTGCTTTTTAGGCAGAGAGGCCAGACAACCTATTCCTCATGAGCTAATATTATTGGTAGAGGACCTAAATGCATGGAATCTATTTCCGTGGGGTTCGTATATATGGAAAGCTACCTGGACTAAGTTGTCGTCTGCCTTTGATGACCGCAAAAGTTTGCGGGGGATGGGTCGAAATACTTTGTCAGGCTTTGTTTGGGCCTTTAAGGTAAGAATTTCTATATAATGTTTTCAAAATTATAATTAATTATTTAACAATTACTAATGTTTGTTATTATATTGTTTGTAGATTTGGATATTCGACGTCTTTCCCGCCATGAAGACATATACAATAAAAACTTCAAATGATATTCCCAGGGCTATTTCCTGGAAGAGGAAACGTCTGTTGG